CTTTACTTTGTAGTCTGTACATTATATTACTAATCGAGTGTTTATTTATTATTGCCATATTAAAAATTATCAATATCATTTATTAATTAATATTTATTTTTCATCTATACTTTTAGTGTAAAATGTAATAGTTAATTATTTTTTTATTACTATTGATAAAAGAAAAGTGTTTAATATTTTTACCTAAATTTCGCAAAGTAACTAAAAAAAAAGATTATCTACTTACAAAGAATATGGATATTCAATCCATGTTGACATGTTGCGCTCAAACATTCAGGACAAACCCATTAATAAACCCTTTTCACTTGTGTCTTGTTCAACATTTGCAAGTAGTTTAGATACTGATATGGAGATATAGACTCAGGTTTTTTATGATCAACATTATAGGTAAGTAAATAAACTTACTCCTAGAATTATACTTATGATTAAATTATACGTCATCAAAATTAATAGAGTACATATAAAGTAGAATATTTTTATAAAGATGAAATGAAATTATCAACAGAAATGTTTGGTGATTATAACATCCTCTATAATTTATATGCCACTTTATTATGTATTTACTATGAGTAAGTATGTAGCTTAGGGTTATAAAAAACAGTATTGTCAAAACACACCTAATTATTTACAAATAACTAAATGTTTTGGGTTTTTGCCACATTTCTCTTTAAAAAAAAAACCCAATCACGCCACTGTTAGATAATTATGGGGGGAGGGTTGAACATTGTTGGATTAAACATGAGATTTGTAAATATTTTTTTAGCCCTCTCAAATTGTTGACTCTAGTTGCACCTATTTATATGTGTTACGTATCATAAGAATACAATAATTGTGTATTTAATTTAAATATTCAAGTTTTTTTCTATATTTAAATTAAATTAAAAAAAAATAAAAAAAATTTATATTGTTTAAAAATATAAAAACCAAGCTTTGTTATACATTTTCAGTTGGGATATGCTTATACATTACATGCTGATACCTGTTCTGGCGGAATCGATGGGTTCTATATTATGATTTTCTGTTATTATTTTTTTTTTTTTTTTTATCACATCGACATAAAAAATAAATGTACATGCAATAAATGTTGTAATCGTGTACTATAAATAATAATATAATCTAACAAATCATTTAGAACTGTTAATAATAACACCATTTATAAAACAAATCAGTATTTTTTATTTCTTTAATATTTTAAACAATTCAAACAAACACTCTTAATATTATTGCTAAATAAATAGCCGAGACGAAAACGAGAGATGATGCAGATAGGTGTAAACGTTTACAGAAACCATATGATTATAATAGATGAAAGGGAGATCGCCATCATATCATTTTATTATCGTCGCACAACGGATAAAAACATTAAAAAACGCACTGCAAACGGACACGTATAACTATTTCTGTAACAGTCAAATTTATTACACTACCCTCACAATATTTATTTAATGCATTTATAATAAACGCCAAGTGTAGGTATATGTGACTTCAGTGTGAATATGTAGCACGCTCGTCTGCGAACGAGTGGATAATTATAGTACGTAGACTCAGCGTAATCTTATATTCACGATAAATCATGCTATATACATATAATTTACGCGTGGATAGTATTGTAATCGCGACATGGCACGTCGTTTAAAAACAATAGATTTATTATTGGAAACATGTGGTCTGTATTCGTCGATCATAAGTATTATGACAAAAGAATTTCAAAATTGTTCAATGCGTGATGAAAATCATTACATTTTATATAACACTTACGTGAATTTATACTAATAGAAATATTGAGTTTTTTTTAGCGTTCAATTTTTGAGCATAATAATTACTTCCTATATTATCAAATCGAGCGAACTCTTTTTATACGTTTTGTGTGCAAACGTAGCGGGCAGTAAGTGGATTAATATACGTTTTCGACTATAAAATATGAATACAATATTTTTTATACTTTTAAATTTTCTGTTTATTACCGGTACATGTATTATATTAAATGATAATTTATTGTGTTGCAAATAATAACACGTTTATTACTCAATAAATAAGAAAATAGTGTTTTTAATGACTAGATATATGGTGATATATATTCGTATAAGAAACATTAAATTTTACTTCTATAAGTTTGTGTTTTGATTTATTTCTTATTAAAATATCATTATTAAATAAATTGACAAATTCAAATTAAGTTGATAAAATAATCAATTAAATTTGATCTATCTCGTTCTATATAAGACCGTAAATTGTAAAAAAAAAAAAAAGGAAAACAAATATCTCGAGAAATTTATAATTGTAACATTTTACACACCCACTATAAATTTGCTACCATACAAAACTGCATATTATGATAAATTTTGATCAATCTGCTGTTTGGAATAGAAGAAAATGTTATACAGTCTTGAATCCGGCGAAGCCTAAGAGTCATTAGCAACACTTCCGCTTTAAACTTATTATATATTATTATTATGCAAGACTATATAATATATAATAAGTTCTTAATACAGGTATGTAGTTTTATAGCGATACCTATTGATAAAAACTTATAGATAAAGCTAAAAAATTTTACTTGTGGTCATTCTGGTTATTCTTATAGTAATTATTATAAATTTATTATAAATAATAGACAGTTAGGTAAATATTTTACAAATCATTTTTTTTCAAATTGTTGTGCAATTTTCTATTTTTTAAACTAAAATATTAATATTTATAATGTGATTACGTTAAATTATAATGTGAATATTGGAATAAAACATTATATTTTATATTTTTATCATACACATTTCCCGACTTAAAGTTAACAAAGGAATTTATAATAAAACACTCAGTTACTTTTTTGAGTTGATTTAAAAAATGTTAATCATATAAATTATAAATAAAATAAAACTATTTATTTTATTATCGTAAGTATCTATATAACTTGCAAATTTTTACTTATCCCATAATTTCCTTGTTTGATTAAATTAATTTCCTAAGTCAGTGGTTTTTGGATAGAGCAACCATGTGGCTTTATCCTATACTAAATATGTGTGGTTTTAATTTACAGTTTATCTAAAGTATGTAGTTTTTTAGAATCTAAACAAAGTTAAACTTTAAATTAATTTGTGATGGAAACGACAGATTATTAATATTTCCCTCCAATAAAAAAAAAAATCTAACGAAAAATCAGAAAAATACCTGTAAAATAACTTTTAAATATTTTTATCCTATCTATGGTCATGATTGGAAATGATGCCAAAGACCTGGAAAGAAAAAGTTTTTATATAGGTTTAGCACTATAATATTCATCCGTGCCGATTATTATTATTGTTGCGCTGTCACAAAATGCCGTTCATCCCAAGTTATACTGCGATTATTGGCTATATAGAGTGGATTTGGACAGTCTGAATCCAAACAATAGTATACCATGTGTTTACCAATTTAGGGAATATTGGATTTCTCGGCCGAATTAAAATGGAATGAATCGATTTTTTTTACAAGCTAGTGGTATATAAATAAATATTTATAGATAAATTTTATAACTTTTATCATTTTGGTAATAAAAATATTTTTATTTTTTTTTTTAAAAGCAACTCTTATTTTGAACACCATATTCGGATGTGCCTATTTTTTTAAAGTAATTTGAACGTAGCAACTATGGTTCTAAATTAAAAGTTGACTAAATAAAAGCCATTTCCTTTTTAATAAATTAATACATTTTTACGATTCATTTAAGTGCATAAAATTATTAATAATTATTTATTATTGGTTATTTTTTGAATGTTTTCACGTATTTTTTTTTTTTATACATGTTATAAAAATGTGCATTTGTTTATTAAATATTATTCATAGCAGTTATTTTATAATTATATAATTTATTAAATAAATTGCTCAGAGTTAACTCCATTATTTTCCACGCATAATTGAAATCGTTGTAGATATCTTCTATCGGTTGCTGACATTATTTGACTTTCAGCTATATTATTATACTATACACGCAACTACAATTTTGTTTTTTAAATCTGCAAGACTAACTGGTAGATTTTTGTAAACTTTTTTAAAATTCCCCATTAAAAATTCAAGTGGAGTAATATCTGGAGATCTTGCCGGACATTGAATGAGTCTTATTTATAACAAGTATAAAAAAAAAAAAATACGTAGAAACATTTAAAAAATAATTAATAATAAATAATTATAAATGGTTTTATGCACTCAAATGATTCGGAAAAATGTATTTATTTAATGAAAAAGAAATGACTTTTATTCAGTCAATTTTTAATTTAGAACCATAAATGATACATTAAAATTACTTAAAAAAATTAGGTCTATCCAAATATGGTATTCAAAATAGGTGTTGCTATTCAAAAAAATTATATTTTTATCACCGAAATGATGAAAATTTTGAAATTTATCTATAAATATGTATTTATACACCACTAGCTTATGAAAAAATTTAATTTATTTCAATTTAATCCTGCTGAGAAATCCAATGTTTCCTAAATTGGTGAAAACACGGTATGATACATAGATTTAGGATGTTATAGCATTTAGTTTATTTTTTTTTTTTTTTTGGAAGTCCAAAATAAAGTCAACATATTATAATGAGATAGAAGTTCGTTTCATTTGTGGAATTTTGAAATATACTATTTTTGTATTGCGAAATTTGAAGACAAATGTATAATTTAATATTTAAAAATATTTTAGTTCTCATTATCAGGCTTATTTATAAAATTTCCTAACACATGTGTTAATTTTTTAATTTTTATCATTATTATTTCCTAGTTTTATTTTTTGTCAGTTAAAGTATTTGATTTTATTAATTTGTTATCATCTATCGACTATTGTGATCGTACTTTATACGTCTAATAATTGTCCACATGTTTTCTTTATAAATAAATGCATATTTTATTTTTATACGTATAATAAAAATGCAGGATACAACATTTTTAATATAATATATTTTGATATTATTGCATCATATCAACATATTTTAAAGAATATATAAATTCTAATCTTAAAGTGATAAAGGTACCCACCTTGACCGGATGGTGATATGCGTCGGTGTTCAACGTTTCGCGCGTGGCCACCGCCGCCGAGTCCAAAGTCTCGTGTGGCGACGGCAACGGTCTTCGCAACGATGGCAACGGAGGTGGTCGCTTATAACGTTTGCCGTGATGATGGAGGTGATGGTGATGATGATGACGGTGGTGGTGCCGGTAGTGGCGGATGTCATCGGTGGCTGTCCCGGCGATGGCAACCGAGTCCGACGACATCTGAGGTGGTTGAGACGGTGGAGGCGGCGATCCGAGATGTGACCGAGTCGGCGGCACGTCTGCCGTCGACGGTGCTACCGCCGCTGCCACTGCCGCCGCCACCGCCGCCGTCGCTCTCGCGCTCGACCGCGCGCCCTCGCCAGAGGTCAACAACCGGTTTAGTGTGTGTATAGTATTAAAATGGTTCGCCGTCGCCCGCGCAAAATTTTTTTATAAATAAATAATAATGCGAAACTTGCTCGTCGGACGGACGATATTATTATTTACTGTCGAAAACCATGTGGAAATAACACGCAACGGTTCGTCAGTTACAGCTTCGAGAGTGGAGTTCGATAAATGGTGTTAGAAACGAAACGATATTGCGCGAACGAAAATCAACCCTCGACGATAACACGAAAATACAGCGGCATGGTGTACCGGAAAAAAATATAATTTTGTCACGGTCCGATCGGTATCAATAATAACATAATAATACTAATCGTGCGACTTTGTTGGATCGTACTTAGGTGGTGGGAAGCGATTTGGTATTGTCTATGAGTTAAGTGCGCACGCGTCGCGCGTTCAGACTGTACTGGGACCGGTGCAGACATGGTCCGGGCGACTCGTCGTCGGCACAACGGTCCCCTGAGAGTGTGAGAGAGAGTGAGAGTGGGCGAGAGAATGAGAGAGAGAGTGAGAAAGACTGAGAGATGTAGTGAGAGAGAGGAACCGGTCACGACGACTGTCGTTGTCGTTGTAGCAATGGCACCGAACTTATACTTATCATCGTCGTAAATAATAATAGTAATAATATAAAATATTATGTATTTTTACGTCAGATTCTCCTTATAAGTTAGCACGTTTGTAAATCTGAAAAATGAATCTGGAAAACTACAAAGGCACTTTGAATAAGTATTTTTGACTTTTCGATTTTCACATGACTTAATGTAAGTGAAAAAAAAAAAAATACAGCGAAAATCACTTCTGAACATTTTAAATAAACGTCAGCAAAAATGTTATTAACCGAGCTTCGCTTACAATATTTTATTTCAAGTACTAATATATGAAAATATTATCTATGCATTCAAGTGTAAATATCAACATGTCGATTTACTCTTGTATTTTATTGAGGCAAGTGAGTGAGATAAATACTAAAATATCAAACATTTGTTAATTTTGTTTTGTCTAGCTTTTTTTTCAACTTTTTAATTACAGTACCTACTATAATTATACTAACCTACAATTTTGATTAAAATAAAATATAACATTACATTTTAAATTATTCTTTCAAATATTTAATTTTAATTGATAATCGATAGTAATAGCAACCATTACTTAAGAAAATCAAAAATTCAGTTGATTTTATTAATTTATAATTATTTTCATTATATTACTTTATACAACAATTGTAGACAACCATAAAAACAGTAGGCGTATTTTCACAATGCATACAAATGAATAATTTTTTGTAAAAAAAAATATGTTTGCAAAATTACTTACACTTTTATACACGGTATGAATATAAATTAGAAAAAATAAAACTGAAAATTATCTAAATACTTTACAAGTTTCTTCATTACAAAAATGGCAAAACTTGAAATTAAAAAAAAAGTGATTAATAGTTGCCTTTTGAACAAATATTAATTAAGCGGGAAATATTATATGAAATCTTTAAATTTTGTTAATTTTTGAAAAAACTAATCAAAATGAATTATATAATGATATGAAATTGTATTAGTATTTTGTTACAGGCTATAGCCTACAGTATTACTGATACAATAACAATTATTATAATATATTATTTTGCTAACAAAATTAAAAAAACGGCGTACTGTATAGGCAATTATGTTGCTCTTATGTGATACAAATATTATACACCAATATATTACTATAAAATAACTTTTTATACTGCTACAAATACTACAAATACTTTTGTACTCGTAAACTTTTATCGAACAAACTCTAAAAATAAAAAATAAAAATACTTAAATTTGCTTAAATAATATTTATCTATATGACACAGCAATATTTTAACCGATTTTATTGAATAGAGTTGCTTTAATTCATTATCTAGTTGTGTACAATAAATTTAATTTATTTTATGGCTTAAATATACTAATATAGTATATAGGATATTCAATAATTTTGAAATGGTTATTATATATTTATTGGGACTGATAAACTATAATATTATATAATTAATAAGGTTATTAAATATTTTACATTATAAATGTATAACAGTGTTATCTGTTGTTGCTTCATGTAAGTATTAAATATGCTTATAGTCCCTGTTACTAAACTTATTGAAAACTCGGTAAAGTATTCCTAAAATGAATATACTATTATATTTAGGCCATGGGTTATCTATTTTTTTAACTTGTATGAAGTAGTTAAAACTATATTATACTCAATTATGTCAAGTGACGACATGTTGATGGGAGTAACTAATAGCTATATATATATTATCCTTATATAAAAAAACAGCCCTTTTTTATGTTCCCGTTTTTTGATGACACTATTTAACATTTTTCCAATTTTTTTCGCAGAGTTGCACCAAATACTCCTATGAGTGATCATTATATCTTTGTTTTATTTATAATTTAGCTATTAATAGTATTTAGCACTTGATAAAATTAAGTAAAATGTTGAGAAAGCACAGACTACACATAGGCGACGCCGGGTAATTCAGATAGTTATAAATAAACATTTAAGTAAAAAAAAAAAATAAAATAAAATATGATGAATAATCGTCAAGTTTGTCGTTGTAATGTGTATGACGTCTTTAAATCAGAATAAGATTAACTACGACAAAGTACGAGTAGTATATGTAATCATTTAATGTGATATAACATATAAAATGATGGTTCGTGGAGTTTTGACAATATTATTCTACATTTGGCATAAACATAATATAAAATTGTAGGGGCAAGATAGATGTGAAAAATCTTATGTACGTATATAATATTATGATAATCGAATAATATTAGAGATATCTAACTCACGACAGTGTTAATAATATTATTTACTTTTTTATTTGTTTTTCCCCATTCTAACATAGAGAGAAGAGTATAATATTTTTTACTTATATAACCTATCACGACGGCAGCCAGTGTTGTAAATTAAACGGCAGCAGATGAATGTTTATGATTTAAAAGGCTGCTGCTTTCACCATCGGATTAAATAACCGGCAAATAAAAAAAAAAAATCAGACAATTATTGGGACGATTTACGACACATTCTATCACGCAAATCTCATCGTCGATCACGTTTATCTCTGAACAATGGATCCAGTAACTCGTACCTGTATAATATTTTATATTTTATATTTATTTCGATGTATATAAAATGGGATGATATCGCCCGCCTCCATTGTATATTAAGTAGGGTATACCATAAACGTTTGAAATCTTAAAAAGCAATTCAACACACATAGAGGTCGAAGTGGTTGGATGTCATTTCTCCGTTTTTTTTTTTTTTTTAGCAGTAGTTTATCATCCTACAACTTATTTACTTATTTTGTTTAAAATTATCCATTTCTCATGGATTTTGAAAAACTTATCAGTTTTAGGATATGTAGTTATTATAAGCAATGTTGACTTATTTTTTCAATAACAACAACTTTAAATAATCATAAAAATGATTGATTTTCTAAAATTTTAATATTTTAACACCGATAGTCAGTAAATAAAACCATCATGTGGGTATTAAATATATAATTTTACATTATATACTTAATATTTTATTAACATATATAGGTAATCACTGATCAATGATCACTAATAACCGAGTTTGATAACATCACAGTATAATATTGGTAATAGCTGAAGTGAAGTTTAAGATGTATGCAACATTTAGGAAGTAACTATACGCATGATTTAGTGCCATCTTCCAAGTAATTATTTTGATTAACCTTTACTAGCACTATTTTAATATAGACATTGAAATTATAATATTAAATCGTTTGTTGTCTGAAAACACGCTATAATTAAATATATAACAGTTAAACTTACAGCCACTAAAATAATTAAAATTATAAAATTATCTCAATTTTAATTAGATATTGATAATATTATTATTCATAGGCAAGTAAGTAGTATAAAGAAAACAAATTCCAATCAGATCAATATTGTTTATCTTAATAATTTCTTGGCATTATTTTAGTACATTTAAATATTGTTTATTTTGGACCTCCATTGTATGATATGGTTGCACACACTTGGTTAGTTATTTGCCACATTTTCCTTTTGAATATGATATCATTATTTATTTAGTTTATTAGAACAATTTTAATCTTAAATTTATCACGAAAAAAGTGTTAATTTTCATTTAAAAATTCATTTAATTTGTTTATTTGTTTGCGCGTTAAATATAAAATTTAAAGTAAACCGAATATCTGAAACTAATCGAAACTCAATAATTCAAAGCGAAGGAGCTTGAACAATGTTTATCAGCTGCATAGTAAATAAATAAATGCAAATATATTAATTTATCGATGAAATCGGTCTGAATTAAATTAAACACTATGGGATCTGGAATCTGTCTATATTAGGTACCTACCTAATCCGTTTTTATCCATGAATTAGGTACATGAATATTATTTTCAACCTAAATCAAATTTTTATGTATAGCTTAACATGGATTTGGCAATATTCTGTACATCTATATTCATATTATTAAATTGTTAGCGAAACACAAATGCGCATTTTATAGCTTTAAATAAATATGAGCTAATTTTGTATCATTCGGATTGGTTCATAAGACGATAATAATAATAATTTAAAAGTAAGTATGTAGGAAAAAATAAAAGTTCAGTGATTTGGTTCAAAGTACAAATGAGATCTTTATTTAAAATTATAAAACACAACATAATATCTAAGTATCAATAATAATATTGTAAATACAACAGACACTAATTAATTATTATGTAATTTTCAAATTGATTATAATCTGTCATAATTGCTAGCTATGTAATATTGTAGTGTACGGGAAAACAGCGACGTTTTATCGTCCGTTTTGTTTGGACAGTACACCTATCATGTACACAAAATACACATACTATAACCACTAAATATAATATTATAATTTATATGACTAAACATTTTGTTGTATAATAATAATATATCTCTTAAAATAATTATAAATATGCGCACACGTAATTTTAATAATATTTAGGTATAAAAAGAACATGAAGGTATGTAAATATTTTATATTATAATATATAATGTATAAAATGTTATTTGACGATTATAAAAATCAAAATAATAATAATAATAATAATTATAATAAAAATAGAATAAACAGTAGGTATAGTACAAAAGGTTGTATGAAAATAATGGAAAATTGCCCAAACTTTAAAAAAAATTATAAACGTATCATATAGCACCAAGGATAACAACAGTCTGTCGAAGGAAATCGTGAAAACATAATGGATCGATTAGAATAACGAGTCAAAACGGAGTCGGATTGGTTGCATTTGTTAGATAAAAAAATGTATAAATATAGATATTGATTATATTACGGGCGAGACTCTTTACCTAGCTCGAAAAAAAACCTGTGACAAATCCTAACAAAATTCGAGTTTGGGATGAAATTGTTTATCGCCGGTGAATCCTTAGATTGCGGTAAGTACCGGCCCAAAGAGACATTAAATCAGTGCCCGAAAAGTGTATTTTCTGTTTACGTCTAAGCTCTCAAAATTATATATTAATATACAATATTATTATTGTATCTCGAATCGTAAACAGACATTCTGCAGTCGATGTGTGAACGGTTATAACAATCTGATTAAAATCGAGTATGAAATAATGTAATAATGTATGACAAATAATAATAAAATATATGATACGATTAAATTATTACAACGTAAGTTTAAAACCAAGGTTATATATAAATAATTGTTTCCCTGCGCTCGCTTGAAAATTCCTTTGGTGGCAAGGACGGAGTCTTTTTTCACTCTATTCTACATCTACGTACTACGTATTAGTTAGTCGATCAGTCTATCGGATGATAAATTAAAAAAAAAAAAAAAAAAAAAACAACATATTTGGTAAGCTCAACACGACAAATTCGTTCAGGTCGTTTGGAGGTAAATTTATCTGGATAAAATGTATATATATATATTTATACACACAATATGTATTACTACTTACGCCTTGTATGTATGTTTATAGTTTCGTTTGTCATTGTATAATATATAATAGTATGATATAATAATATTGTCGGTACAATTAATGATATTGGATAGTAATATTACAATATTAATGATAAGTAATTTATTATATTTAGATAAATATTATATAATAGTAATAATTCCGTAACTAGAGTCGTTTAACACAACGTCTAAAAGATATACGATATGATTATACATGGATCACGGGTCAGACGAGGGGGACTAGATCGTTTTAATTGTTTTCAGGAATGGTAGGCGGGGGATTGGTCGTCGGCTGACTGTTCCGCACGGAGGTTTGAATAAACAAATGGTCGTCAGAGTAGTGGAAACGTCCTGTAGTCTACAGAGCGTATTATAATTCGAAATCGATCTGTTGGATTTTTTCTAAAAAGCTTATCAGCCGGACGCGGCACGCCGGAAGGCGGTTTCTCCTCCACCGTTCGGGACGCCGCCCGACACACGCACTCGGATATTGTTAACGAATGTCTATGCTGCGATCGCGATTTTTTTATGGCGACCAATCGGAACGCGAACAGGGACGGTCGCCAAAATATTTATTGGCCGTACGACTGTTGCTGGTGCTGCTGGAACAGCCTGACGCCGTTGTGGTGCGTGGGTATAGTCGAGTGGTTCCGCCCCGACCGGACGGCAGACGCTTTGGCACCGCCGACACCGCCTCCACCGTTGTACGACGACGACCACTGCCGTTGATGTTGCTGGTAGTTGATCTGGTTCTGCTGCTGGTTCTTCTGCTGCTGGTACTGGTGATAGTGCGACGGCGGCGCCTTGACGCGGTTACCGGCCGTCGTCTGGGGCGGCGGTGGCGGAGCCACGTTGTGCGGCATCGTCCTCCAGCCGGGCACCGACCCGGGCCGGTTCCGGGCGCCCCGCGGTTCCGTGAACGAGCTGAGCGACACGTTCGTGGGCCTGGTGCACGGGTCCGGCGGCATCCGGGCCTTGGCCCCCGGACCGCCCTTGTGCCGGATCACCACCGTGTCCACGGTTTGCAGGTCCGCGTAACTGGCCCGGCGCCGCTGTTCGTCGTCCGTCGGCGACAGCGTGGCCGTGGACGCGGCCGGCGAAAGCTGCAGCGGCGGGGGCGGCGGCGGCAGCGGCATCGTGGCCGCCGTGTCGTGACTGCTGTTGGAGTGCACGCCGCTCGACGACTCGCTGTGGCCGCTGCACGCGGCCTGCGGCGAGTGGCCGGCCGCGGACGCCTCGGACTCCGACTTGACCGTGTCCTCCTCCTCGAAATCGTCGGCGGCCGTCACCGACGCCGAACCTGTCGGGCGCTGCGGCCCCTGCTGGCCCGCCGCCGCCGCCGACTCCGCCGTTTTGCCGTACACGCCGCCGCTGCGGTACGCGTGGTCGCGCAGTTGTTGGTGTTGCTTGGACACCTGCAACGAAAACGATTGTAACGAATTAATACGATTACCCTGAATACCGTGCGCTGTACGTCATTGGACGGTTCGTTTGATTGGACAGTTTATCTAATTATTATGTTCGACCGAACGACGATCCAACCGATATCGTGGAATACGCGAATTTCTGATACGTTATTATACCGTCACAAGCCACGGCAGCCGTGCATAACGTGTGTCGTTAATACACGTTTTGTTTTTACGTATTTCGAGTTTAAGTTAACTACATTTTTTACGGTTCAAACCATTATTTCGAAAAATGTCTATGTTATAGTTACCTACTGACGACATACACTAATGACTTTATTATAATTGCAGTCATCTTTTTTTTGTTTTTGCTACTTGGTCAATTGTTATCTCAGCGATATAATTTTTTGTCTCACGGTGTCGTAGTGATAAGTCCCTGGTAAACTTTTAATCTTTGCGGATAATTTATTATCAACGATGAAACTAAATCCGAACATCGGTTTATAATTTAATGGCACGGAAAATGTTGTATCATGTATTCGTATTTATGCGTAAAGTATTTCTCTTCTTTTTTATATATTTTATTATAGTAAGTTGATATAATAAAAAAATATATAAAATATATAAGCATATCAAAACTTAACGCGATCTACCAAAAATACAATCAAGACCCGGGGGAACCTCTGAACTGCAGAAAAAATATTATTATTTTTTTATTTTATTCGAAACACAAAGCTATACTGTTCTGTAATTTAAATAATAATTTATTATAAATAGTATAATAATTAATTCATTTGTAACTTAACCTCAAACAAACAATATATCATATTATATGTATTTATAATGTATGCGTGGTGACTTTAGATCAGACAAAGAATGGTTAGGTTTAAATATTTATTGCTCTACTTCAAGTAGACTACGCGTGTTATAAATCGTTTAATATGCTATCATTTAATTATGGTAATAAGTTGCATGATTATTTCGGATGACGTCACTAAAACTTTTTAATAGCTGTTTGCCGTGTACTCACCACCATAAAGTAAAGGCTTCGCCGTGAAAGTAATGCTGAGGAAAGTGGACGTTCAATAAAATGGGTTAACTTTTTGCGCTCGACAACAGCAGTGGTGTACACGAGGGAACGATGGCAACTTTTGAAGCGATAAAAATTAAGCTCGTCCTGTCACCACACTATACACGTGGATATTGCGATAGTATAATATTATGCAACCAAGGAAAGATGATTCTAATCTATGTAATGACACTCATCACATTGCCAACAGCGCACTCAAGAGCATGAAAATAAATATTTTAATATATCGTATTCATTGTTTTCGTCGTAAAGTTGTTGATTCGTTTCCAAAATCTATCCTTACGGCTTTTAATATACTCGAGTCACTTTCACAGTTCCGATTAATTCACATTCAAATAATTCAAACATTATTGTTGTATAATATTTAAACATTAACTTCAATCATACCCGTACGTACGTCTATTTTATTATTTTGGCACTTAATTAATGTAGAACACCATAGTAATGTTATGTTAGTATTGTTTGTTTGATTGGTAGTTTTCTAAAACGTCATTTAATTATTTGTAAAAGAAGGAAAATTGGCAGGTTCGATAAGTGTGTAACTTACTCTTCTCATACAATGTTAAACCTTAATTTTTTTTTTTATTTATTCATTTATTTAGTTATACAATTGTAAAACTAACATTAAGCAAAATGAAAAATGAATGAAAAATAATTAAGATGGTTATCTAACATAATCAGGTCTTGAAACGGGAGTCCTTTTGCTAACAATTATATTGAAATCATTTTAAAACCTCTTTTTCTCTTAAACTGAGAACGAATGTCGGCGAAGAATTTCTTTATCAGATCGCAGTGTAGCGCTATTGTAACAGTCAAACTGAAATACATCACAACCTGTATATGATCTAGTACTAAAATATATATATATATATTTATGTATAGCATTAACACAAAATTTCCGAGACGAGTTTCTAAAACTTATAACTTTTAAGAGGATTATAATATGTACGAAGTCATGAGCGTATTGCCTGTGTATTGAATACCTAAGTATATATTTATATTTCTTGTGTGTGTACGCATATACATTGCCGTATTGATGAATACAATTCTCTTACACTAAACCCATTTAAATAATAATAATTTTTGGCGACGAATATAATACGAGATACATATAATATTAAAATAAATCGTGTTATTCGATGCAATAAATGTTTAAATGCACTTACTAAAAGTCTACAGCGACAGATTAAAAAATGTAGATGAGTGCTATGAGGTTGTGTGCGGATATCGATGGGGAGTTATAAAATGCATTATATTCAGTATTGTATAACGTAAAATTACGTATAATTCTCTCTCCTAAAACCAAGCTTTGAATTTATAGTAGTTTTAATATTTTTTCTAGTTATGAAACTAAGCTGCAGCTAATTAATAATGTTACAGCTGAAATTAGTTTTTAAATTTTTGTAGGATTAAGGATTAGTTATTAGAGTAAAATACATTTTTATAAAAAATACGCGATTTTATACATGTTTTTTGTGCATACATAATATTGAATTGAATAGTTATTTATACTTTTAAAAATATTTTTTCTTTTTAACGATTCATAACGACGTATGTAAATTCGTAGACATAATACACGTAGTATTGTTTCTTCATTTGATTAAGCGTCGATGTGCTAATTGAATTTTAGCTCAAAATGGTCGGGCAAGTATATACGCAATGTTACGAGGGGTTCAAAAATAAACACGAAATTAATTTCATACGTATAATATAATATAATCACATACCGAATCAATTAATTTTAAACAAATAATGTACAGCTATAAATTATATAATGTTATTATTGTTATACGACATAATAATAAAGGCAGAAGTATTGGTTTCGTCGCGCTCATTGAAGTGTATATCATACTATACTATATATAGTTAAAATTTTAAATTATAAATATTTGCATAAACGAATAAACTACCTGCTATGATCAAATCTACTAATGTGACAAAATGTGATGATAGTGGCCATTAAAATTTTACGAATCTGTATTCAGCAGCCGTGCCAATTTCGATTTTAATATAAGTATAACACTATACCAAAATAAAAAAAAAACATGACACGAAATAATAGACGTAATCAACGCATGTTATTGAAAACTAATAGGACGAAATTTATCGTATTGCTTGGGCTGGTAATAATATTGAGAACTTGATTGAAGTTAAATTTATTAATAATTATTTAACTTGCAGTGTTATAATAATAGAATAACTTATTAAATTACAAGATAGTAGATACTATATATTATATTATTTTATTTTACTTTACTATATTATTACTAATTTTTTTCTGTTTATTTCTTTTTTATTAATTTAAATTAATTTTTAGCGCATTAGTTAGATAATCATGATAATGAGTTAATTTAAAATTTAAAACAGGAAATAAGTCTTATGAATGTTACAGGTTTTTATTACTATGTTGACACTCCCTTCATACCTGACAGAAGTCTGCGAATACACAAAATAGTTTGAAAAAAAAACTTAATTTAAGTTAATAAGATACTTTTATTTTTATTTAGTAAGGTTAGCTTAAAATGTAATTATAACTGTCAACTTTTAATTTGTTTAATTTTCGTTTTTGCTTTTTTTTTTTTTACTTAAAAAAACTTTAAATTATTCATGAGCTCGACTAACATTGCATTTCAGTCGATTGTATCAGATACAAAGATAATTAATATTTCTACCTGACAACGCGTTTGACCGTTTGTTTCTACTTTATCGACATGAAAGGTGTACAACATGTATACCTTTACTATATTACTAAGGACTCACTTGGGTTTTACTGGCGTGGAATTCCGCAGCTGAACTTATGTCTTCTTGCAGAGGCGGTGGCGGCGGTGGTGGCGTGGCCGGCGAGTAAAACAACTCTCTTGTGTTGGCACTAGCGTATGTAATTACACCTTCCCGGACAGTGTCTAAAAGCTATATGAGAAAATTTCGTTTATTAAACAATCATAGTTTTGCCCAGAAGTTGTATAAGATTATAGTTGTTCAACCATAAACCCAGATTTACAAACCGAACTTTTTTTAATGTTATACTGTTATAGCAAACCCAAACGAAACCTAATTTAAAGTTTTGAGTTTAAACCTGAATCAAAATAAACATTTCAAACTGTCTTGTTGAAAATCTGAACTCATATAGAAATATTAAAACAAAACTGTTAGGATTTAATAGTGGAGTGAATAAAAATAAAATCCCATTTTTCAACAAAAATATTTCTATGAATGAAGAAAAAATAATAAACTACAGACAGAATTGCTGAAAATAATGCAAGTTATTGATTTTATTTTTTTTTTATCGCAAAATCGAAGAAGACCATAAATTTAATCCCTTTTTTAAAGTTATCGTTTATACACGGAAAAACTTAGAACTCCGTCTGTATTAATAAAATTCATAATATATAGAAAAAAAAATGTATATTAATGGACATTTAACTCAAAGAAAAACATCAGAACCCAAAAACATTATTTTTACCTATAAGTAAGGTTTATTTTTTCACATGTTCGACCGCGTTAGTAACTTTTTCTTCTTACTAATATTTTTGGTACAATTTAGTATACTTAATATTTCTCGGTTTTTAGGATCGGTTAATCAAAAATTCTAAAACCAGAATTTTATTATTATTACGTAATTTCTTTTTTCGGGGAGGGGATTTATTGCAGGAATTCACAAGAATGACTAGTGAAGTTATAATATTTTAAAAATAAAACAGAATAATATTGTGTACGTTTAGGTGAACGGATAGTGTTGAACACTCTATAGACTATTTTCGTATACGCCAACGGTACCCGAGGCGGTTTTATGTTTTGATAACGTATTTTTTGATTTACGGTCATTTTTACCTTCGTGTCTTCAGACGTATTGTCGTCGCTATGATCGTTTGTGGCTCTAGCGACCATCGGCAATTCGCGGAGCTTTGCATAATCGCCATCGTCTTCAGGACTGACTCCCCTTCGGTCAACTTTGTTCATTGGTATACCTCTGTATTGAAAAAAAAATAAAAATAAATTTAGTAAGACAAACATTGTTCAACACGTGATGATTATTTTAAAAGTAAATATTTACTAATAAATTATTTCTGAAAATAAATTATCTTTTTGGAAAACTAGAATTGAAGAACAAATTTATAGCTCTCAGGATATTATTTTTAAGCATTGTCTTTATTTTTGATTTATTCTTTTTAAGATGATTATCAAAATCATTAATGCTACTGAATTTTGTTTTTAAAATGTATTTTAAACTTTACAGATATTGAATACTATCGAACAATTAAACTTATTAAAAATCATTTAAAGTATTAGCGAATTAATGTGCATCTCCCATAATTTTAAATTATTTCAAATATCAGTTGGTTGTCTGAAAATATTATTATTGTTTAATATTATTTAAATATTTTATAATCGTACATTCATACGTAAAAGGGGAAAGACGTTAAACGATTTATATGGTATAGCAGATGTTGAGTGTACCTTTTTATTGAATATAAATTATTTGCAGTTATTATTTTTGAATTCTAATAAAATTATAAAATAAATGTCAAAAGCTAGTTTTGCATTATAAATCCCGTTTTTCTTTATTTTATGTTTTTTTGTTTTTCTATAATTATTTTAAAATTACTGGGAATTTTTGATTTTAACTATGTATTTAAAAATGCTAACTAGATCTAAGAATTTTTTCCTAATATAAACAGTGTACATATACATAATACACAGAAAAAAAACATTCTCATTATAAAATCGATACATTTTTCATTTTTCCATCTAAGAATCTAAAATTTGTCATTTGAACATGAATATATGACTTAAGTTTATAAAATTAGAATTATAGATTGCTTAACACAAATTCTTGTCACGATAATGATTCACCAGAAAGGAAAAAAGTAAATCAAAAAATAGTGTAATATAAAACTGTTATTTGAATTGCACAATATTGTAAATTTTAAACATTTAAATGATTTAATATTTCTTGAAATAATGAGTGTTTGATATTAAAATAATTATCCTATACGTGTATTTAATATTGCTGATCTATTATAACCTTATATAAAAAACAAAGTGATACCTGGAAAAACTAAGCCGCACGTCGTGTGTTGTAGATATCAAATGATTAATAAAAACAATTTTTTTTTGTACAGGCTATTGAAGATGATTATTGTCATTATTTCTTTTTGGCATTGTTTTCGTATGCCGTCATTCATTGTTAAAAACCATTGTAATGAATACGTAGGTGTGGTCAGAAGGGAACTACTATCGTTTCTCATTAAATGCAGTTAACAATACCCGCGATAGTTTCGTTACACTGAAAGTTCTTAATCGATATGTTGTAATGATATATTATCTACAGTGGACTACTGTTTAAAAAAAAATATATATATAATCTTTTGTGTTACAAGGTTAACAATCATGATTTTACGGGGACAGTATAGTTATGATAATTACGTGCATTTTTCATGATTATTGCTATTTGTTTACCGAACAGTTAAAGACGCAACAAATGTAGTAATTACCGAGAATAAACGACGGTGTAACACTGCTATTTTCTAATTTAAATGAAAATACATTTTCAATCACACGGTTATTCCAAATTAATTTTAAACAAAAATACTGCTCCCATTTTCTCCACACACATACCTTGTAGATTTATTTGTCCGTTTACAACCAAAACAGCCTGACTGTTCGTCCGAGTCTTCCATTTCACTTAAACAACTGCGGCCTGAACTCGATTTAGGTCTAGGCCAATATATTTGTTCATCGCTCATTGTCTTTGGCGTTCTTTTATACTTTTGTTTATCTGAAATAAGAGAGGCGTATAACTTTGGTAAGAGTATTAAAACAATTATTTAGCCAGTGTTAAATTCAAGGCGTTTAACTAATTTTTGGTGAAGAGCACCAATTAACAGTCTAAATCCCCTGGATTTTACATAATCTACCACACAATTTAATATGATATAATATTTAATTAATGTTAGTGTTATTTTAATAAAATACTGTGTACATATTTTTATTAAGTCAAAATCCATTAATACATTAATAACAGTAAAACATAATTGGAAAAGTTATTCTGTAGTGTTATTGGTTTCAACTTTTCGATTTATAAGTTGAAGTTTAAGACGTGTTATTGTTTCAACTTTACGAGATATTTCTGATTTTATTAAGTTATTAATAACTTTAATTTGATACACATTACATAAAAGAAAAACAAATAATTCGAATTGAACCATTTCGGCATATTTTGTATGTTTTATAAAGTAATTACGTATATTTAACTTTATGTTGAAAAATTGATCATCCACAGATGTTACACCACTGTCTACTAGGAAAAATATAGAGAAAAAAATGAAATTATAACGCGAGACAATTTATAAAACTATAGTTCATTTAACAGGCCTTGAATTAATAGAGCAATCTAATATATCTTCAAGCGTCGGTGCTACATTTCATTTACGAAATTATAGAGTACATCACTATTATAAATTATAATAATTAGTAGACCACAAGTTTAACAGTCAGTACAAGTCTAGTTTAACTAGTTAGGAATAAAGGCGAGTGAAATAATATAACAGCTAATAAGAGCAAAAGCAAGGCACTTGTTCGAAAAAAATGTATTTTCCGCGAAAGACGTCTTTTTTTTTTTGTGGTAAATCACGGCTCGACAAAGAGGTACTTTTCCCCAAAGGCGCCTACGAGAATCTTAAAGACCACATGTACGTGTACGACCATAATCCATCTTGTACGGCACTTAAATACGGAGGAAATATTAATCGATGGTCTCGAACGTGGACATGGGACACCATAAAATACGATATAATAGCAACATCGATAGTAGTAGTCGAGTAGTAGCGAAACGACATTGTCGTGTGAGCTCACCCGAATTGGCAGCGACGCGCGTGTAGTCGGCGACTACGCGTTCCACTACCGACGTGACGATGCGCTTGGCCGTCTTCTCAGTCAGCGAGTACGTGGCGCCTTGGGCCACCACCAGCAGCGGCACGCGCTGAGCGTCGTCACCTTCGACGCCACCTCCACCGCCTCCACTGCCACCACCGCTGCCGCCGCCGCCGCCCCTGGGATCGTACTCGAGGAACAGGTGCAGGTCGAACATCCAGCAGGGCTTGAGCGTGAGCACGGACCACATGGCTATCCAGACGAACACGTGGGCGGTAGAGTTCAGCAGGCACGCCAACACCACACCGTTGAGCGACGACCGGAAGACGACGATGGCGTTGTACAGCAACGGGCTCTCGGACGCGACGACGGCCAGCAGGGCCAGTACGCTGGCGCAGTACGGCATCAGGCTCGAGTAAGCGTCGGCCACGGTCTTCCGGCCGCCCGTCTGCCGCTTCACGAACCCGTTGAACCGCGTGTACCCGTAGTAGTACACTATCGAGTTGGACACGAATATCAGTACGGTGGTGACGGTGAACAGGACCGCGGTGTCCAAGTGATCCAGGACCAGGTGGTACGTGGTGGGCCCGGCGGGCAGTTCCTTCACCATTTTGCAGACGCCCAACACTTGCATCTGCGAGGCACGGACATTTAACGATACGATTAATAATAATGTATTTATAACGATTTTTTTTTTGTTTTTAGACTCGTTTGCTCTGAACACTTCATTTTTGTTACTGGCCGAAGCGTTGAAAAATTACGTTTTCAGCGAACAGTTAACGAAGTTTTCTCGTTCAGCGTGTGTATTGCCTACTCGCTATGCAGTGATTGGAAAAATTACTGTCTGTATCGGATTAGTTTAATTTATCAAATAAGTTAGTAGGGGGGGGGGGGGGGTTATTGCCGCGCGGTTTTGTGAAAACGTTTGACAAATCTAGTTACCAAAAATAACAAGAACAGTTCGATACGAATCATCGTAATATTGGTAAAGGCTTTTCAAAGGCGGTAAAGGCGTGACTGAAAAAATATTATTTTTAGCTTCTGTGAAAAAGCATTTTTAGTAATCTTGTAGTATTGTGCGAATTGCAGTCTTTGCCCTTGATGCGTGTGTCGATTTTTATTTTCGACAAAAACTTTTTTGACGGTATTGTTTTTAAATGTGAATTTACATGATTTAAATCTAATACTTATCGATATCGATAATAAAATACAAAACTATAAATTTATTTTATTTGAGAATGTCGTTTTGTTTTAATAGTGAAATGTAAACCAAAATCGAGGTTTAAATATTTTATAACTATTAATATAATAATTATATTATTTCACATTTCTTTAACAAAATTACAAAAGTCGAGCGCAAATAATATTTTTTCACCTTGTAGAGGATGCAGGTGAAGAGATACAGTGACAGGCATTGTATGGCGTTGGCAAATAGCTGAACGGAAAATAATGTAGCAAAACATTTGTTAGTCTCCCAAAAAACAGACGCATACCGTCCGCAATATATGAACAAGGCCATGGCATAATTGAAAAACTCGACAGACATGATCCCATCAGTATCCGCAACATCTGCAAAATAAATAGTCAAGAGTTTCAATCGGCATTACATTGGACTAGTTTAGACTAGCAAAGTACTTTAGGTTAGGTATAAGATTTGGCGGATTATACCTTACCATTTTAATTCCCTCGTTTAAACTTTAAATATTAATTCATTGAATGATTAATTGAACAACCAATAGTTTCATGTCAAAACTTTTAGGAAAGTAAGCCAATTTGGTTTAAAATTAAATCGCAATTCGTTGTTAAGAAAATAAGTTTATAATAATGAAAAATATGTCGATAATTTCTTATAAAAAATATAGAAGTGTAAAAACATCCAACGTCATTGAATATATAGAATTAAAACTTGTTGTTATAGGCGTCATCTTTTTGATGAACTATTAGGTAATTGTAGAATAAATTTAAAAAGTATAATTATATGTTTTATAATTAATAATTTTGAATGTAAACGAAATGAATATTGTTTGTTTATCTTAATTATATAATAAAATGTGTTAACTACTTAGTCATCTGTTTAATTTATTTTTTATGAAACTTTATACAATATAAATCCAAATAAAAAAATGTAATTGTACTTTTTTTTATGAAATCAATAATGTTATTATTTATATTTTGTTAACCATTTAAATATTTGATCTTAACGTAAAATAAATAACTTATTAAATTGTTAATTTCTGAATTAAAATTTCAGAATGAATGTAATAAATTTATTTGTTAATCATTATTTTCAAATCAAATATTAGAAACGATGTGCAAAAACTTACCATTATATATCAGAGCTATTAAAAAAAAAAAAAAAAAAAAAAAAAAATGGTGATGTGTAGTTTTAAAAATAAAAATTCTTAGACGATAAATTAAATGATACTTACATGATCTATTTGTCGATGGTGACAGCGACTGTGGGACAAGTATCGACTGTGTCTTGGGTTCGATGTGCATATTTTTAAGCGTGATGTTGGGCGGACTGGACTGATGTCCACCGAGGACCAGGAAGTCCAAGTCGGTATTCCAAATATTATCTGAAAGGGCACAAAGGAAATTTAGATGAGAAACATAGTAGATTACATTGCGTGGGTTGTTTGTGGGTTGCATCGTACTTTATAAGGAACAATATAGATATATATTATGAATATATAGAACATAATAATATATTCTCCTATTGTGTATAGGGATCAGTGAAAAGGCAAACCTCATAAGGCGTCATTTAGATACCTACCGAATATTATTATATTATATAATACACTTATATCCACCTACAGTTAATATTATAATGTTATGCCGCTATCAGGTAAATATTCCGAGGGTTAACTGCACGAGGTTAAGCGAGTTAAGAATACAAAAAAAACATTATACATAGCTATAGCTGTTGTCATACAATATACGTGAGTTGATAAACGAATTAAAAACAAAATTATATACGTAATCATTCCTACTAAGCGAGAAAAAATTAAAAATGACACAATACATACGCTACACGAATATTAAAACAGAGAATATGAAAATTCCTACAGCCGTCAACAATAAGTGAATACCTACGTTTGTTAAAAAAAATTGTACACATTTTTGCTTTAATGATACATAAATATAGTAAATTCTCCTACAAGAATAAAATAATATTTGTTTAACGTTAAAAAGATTAGCTTGAAGAGTTTATTACATTAGCTTCAAAAAAATGTATATTGTATTTAAATAAGAGATATGTCGCTTCAAATTGTCCTATGCATTATTACCCGCACCTTCATAACTTATACACATATATGGTTAAGTATATATCATTATTATTTACTTGTGGACATGAGACCGGCTTGTATGAGTCTGGCTTCGATCATGAGTTTGACTACCAGTAGGGCGAGCGCCGTGAATGAGTGTAGTGTGGAAGAAGACGGTGGCCCATGGGTCCAGCAAGATGACAGGCGGCGACGGCGAACGTCCAAAAGATTTCCCAGTTTGTCCGAGTCGTTGGCCATGTTTCCAGTACGGAAGACAGCCGTGAAAGCCACCAGAGGTACCAGAACGGCGGCCATGCCTATGGTAGCCACGAAGCAGTGGATTTCGTACCGGGGCGGAAGTACGCTCTTCGGTGGCCATACCACTTCCAAGTACTCTGAAATTTATTTTTAAAATTCAAAATTTAAATAAGTATTTATAATTTCATCGTGTGTGCCACGAGAAGTTTATTCATAAACAGGTCAAATTTATAAGTTTATTTGAATGCAACAAATCGATAAGTTTTAAAAACGATTTGACGTTATTTTACATGGCTGATATTAGAGCAACTATTGTCGTACAGTTCAAAACAGACCCGTTGAGATCGAAGTACGGTACATTGTATTGATGAAATTATAAATTAATGTATGGTAACATAGCACATAATAATATTATGTAAAATGTTTATAATAGATATCAAATAGTGTTCGAAATTATACTTTAACTAACCTTATTAAACATTGTATTATTTGTATTCATGTGTTACATAGTATTAAAATAAAATAAAAAATATTTACTAGAAATTTAAAAATACGAAGTAGAAAAGTAAATTAAATTAATTGGATATCGGGGTAGTTAGAAATATTAAACGAGAACATTTTTTTGTTTGTTTTTCAATAGTTTACCAAATAATCATTAATTTTATTTTCCGTCCTTTAATAAATTATTCAAAACTAAATAAAAAAAATAAAATATATTCTATTTTTGTAACTCTTGTTATATTCATACGTTCGGGAATCGATATTTTATTTTTCATAAAGTCGTTAACTACGTTAATAACTCTATTAAAATTTAATATTTTACTAGCAAATTTACAGTTTCATATAGAAAACCCTTGTACATTATATTTATAATATACTAGTATATTAAAATATATAATACTCATGACAATAAAACAGAATTGTACAAAGGAACAGCAAAGGTCATCATAAAAATTATTCAAAACATCCTAACAACAAAATCATATTATACAAATACCCAATGATTGAATACAAAAAAATAACGAAAACTAAACGTAAGCGGCTTAAGCTGCCGAAATTTATAACATATAAACAACATTAGAATTGAATAATGAAAGTTTGTTGTATTTACATAAATTGCTTGACTCGACTTTTGAAGGATTATTTGTATTTCGTCGATTCTAATGTAGGACATGCGCAGTATTACATATATTAAGGTCTTAATAACTTGCATACCTACTCATTGTAGTAAATACACAATGCACATAATATTATTAGTGTTAAGATAAACACAACTAGACTAGGATCGTGTTGTAAAAGTAATTCGTGTTATGCATTAGACCGGCCGGAGGCGCAAAACCGTTTATGATAATAATTTACTAATATATATATATATATATACTTAGTAAATTTTACTGTTAAGTTTTGAATATTTTCCGACGTACCAAAGTATAATTTCCGTGAAACTTTCGATAACTTTCCTAATAAGTTTTAAGCACGTCATCATAATATTCAATTTTCATTTATTTTTTCCGCAACAGTTTTGATAATTTTTTTGTAGATTAAAATTAATTTACGCATTTACTAATTTTTTTTTTTTAAATATATACGCAAACAAAGTAAAAAGTATGTTATATTGTAACGCTTAAAACCAGAACCATGTTAAAGAATTTTATTTCTTGGGTAAAATTGTATAGCGTCGGGATTTATTATTTCCTCACTGATTACATACAAATTCTTGAGATAAATAAGGAAAATTAGTTATATAGGTATCTTCTAATATAAATAAAAATTAAAACAAAATAACGAGAATTCAAAAATATTTTTATTTTTTTTTATATAATTTAGACGAAATAAATGTTTAAACAAGATATTCTCGGATAATTTTTGTAAGTAAAAAATATTACTAAAGAAAAAAAAAAAATAAAAAATTAAACCAGGAAGCTTTATACTGTCTAAACATTTTGAATTTATGTATGCTAATATGCGTAGAATGCATACTATTTTATGTGAAAACAATATGGAATAACACAAATTTTATAGTTAAAGTTGGACGTCGACGTTTTTATGCCAGTATAACTTAACTATGTACGACGGCATGAACCCGTGTCACATCAGGACAGTATTTTTGGAATGTTATTACTACAGTGGCAGGCGCGCTTTGGTGAACGCATGCCACCATCATTGTAATACATAAACTACAGAAACATCGAATAATTGAAACAGTTTTCGGCTCGTTCATTCTTTTAATCCGAGTGACGTGCGACGGCGAAATGTTCGTGTATGTTACTTGTATTTAACTAATATGAGATTTTGTGAAATTTATCGAAAAACGCGTACGTCTGATCATCGTAGCGTATCGCATTTTATTGTACTAAACATCGAGTCTTCGTGAAATTTTCCACTCTTTACGGCTTTTCGTAATCATTTGTTTCTGTCACTTTTACTATCGGCAGTAGTATAATCGTTCTCGTCGCTGTACGTATATAATATAGTATATCTGACTTAATACATTCATGTTTAATTATGAGCGTAGATCTATTAGCTCTATAGATTAATACAATTTCAAATATTTATACTTCACGGGAGCTTAGAATTTTGTTGGCGGAGTTGAACAAATAATTTTAGTAGTTATATTGGGTATGCCCCTTCGCGTCTTTCGAAGATATGTGCGTTTTACAATGAGTGTTTTTTTTTTTTTTTTTGAATAGGTACTCATGCTTTTTTTTTTAATATACAAAACACTGATATAAATATTTATTGTTGCTACAAATATTTCATACAAAAGGTGTATCCTCAACATTTCAACAAAGTGTTTCCATCGTACACAAAAAATTAAATTATAATTAATAATTAAATATTATTTGTTACCTAATTTAAAATGTCTAAGTGTTTTTATCAACCTGATCACATTAAGTTTTTTGAACAGATGTACTTAAAGCGTGATTATACGCAGTATAATAAAATAAACGTAGAATGTCTGGACTATTTTCTCAGAGAATATAATAACAATATATTATGTTATCAGTAATCAATATATTAGTATACAGACACCTACATTTAATATTATTATTACATACACGTTGTTCAAACAATGAGATGTGTATTGAGATAATCGATATTTTTATATCCCAATAGGTTTATACAATATAAAGTAGAGTAACTGGAGGAGATTATACGTCGATTTTTTTCCTATAAATATCAAAAACAATAAAATATAAGGTTCTTAAAATAGAAATAAAAAACAAAATACAAAAAATATTCAATCGAATACTCTACACTTCTACAGTAATAAAATTCATATACCATATTTTACTATGCGTATTTTAGTATTTATAATATTTTATGATATTTTAATTTTAAACGATTTTTAAAATTATATTGTAATGAAAAAAATAAAAGATAAATGTATAAACATTTTAAGGAACATGGAAGAAGACAGTATTATGTATTCATATATGAATACCATTGAATTCTTAAAATGTTGTGTTTAATCAGTGATGATGTGAATAATCACTAATTTGTTTTATAATAATTATTATAAATTAAGTTTAGCATAAAAGAAGTGAAAAAAATAATCGTCAAATAATATTTATTTTCAGATAAACGTATGCTGCATAAATGAAATATAAACATTTATTAGTATTAACAAAACCATATGTATTGTTATTAATTATAAAGAAAACTCACTTATTCAAAGTCAGCTCAAATATTCTATGTTTTTACGTTCACAAAAAAATAAAAACAAGTTTTGAAACAAGAAAAAAATAATATACCAGTTATTATTTTATTTTTAAACCAAATTTTAAACTTATATATTTTAACTCATAAGCTCGAGTATATTTTTTTTTATTCTTTTTTAAAACTTTGATTTTAAAATAAAATGTAAAAAGTTAAGTGATACTGCAATCAATCACTACATCTTTTGGGTTTCATAATGCATATAGATGGTTTTTAAAATCATTCCAATAATATTTTAATTGAGAAATTAAATAAGAACTTATAAACGATTGTTGTAATTCATTTTCAATCATTTTTGATTTAAATTAAAAATGATTTAACCATAAAAATAATAATACATTCATTATTATTTATTAACGAAATAATTATACAGACTCGTTGAATAGTATTTAATTATTCTTTGAGTTGTATGGAAGTTAGGAGTATTAAACATTATAATGACTTTATCGTTTACTGAAGAGAGAAGACTTCCTCAAAAGTAGATACAAAGTAATAAATATAATAAAAAATACCACTAGATTTAATGTGGTGAAATTATTTACGCGCAAATTATATAATTTCCTGATTGAAACTAAGATTTATTAACTCAATATATTAGCATTAAATGAAAACCGAGAGGAACTTAATCAAGTAAATCAAATAAGCATTTTATAAAATTTGAATACTAAAAGTACGTATGTGATTTACGACTTAACGCCTCTGAAATTTACAAGTATTTCAATGAAAATATTAATCATCAAGTGTAGATCATTTCAATATCGACAAAATAAAATAGTCACACAATAAAGTTTGATTGTATGGTATGGTTATAAAAACAAAATTGTATGCTGCTACAGTTTTATAATTTATTAATAATAATATGAACTCTGAAGCCTTAAACTTAACATGATTTTGTCACCATTCTGAAGGTGTAAATATTTATTTTAGGGTATTCCCTTGTGATTTAGTCGAAATTGTTTCACTATTTGTTTTGTACATTAAATTTACTCAGAGCTTGTTCGTATATAATTTATTTATATTGTTTCAATTGGTTTTTTCTCCTTGTAGATTAATATTTTTGTGTACAAACTACATTTACTTCTATAAACTACTTTTAATGATATTATTTTAGTCTTTTATCCCAGTATATATTTAACAATAATTAAAATTTAAATTATAGTATATGAAAATGTAAAACAAAATACTTATTTAACATTTTGAAGGACTGTATTATTATATAAACCACGATGAGAGTTTTCTATTCACAGTTCGATGAATAACGATAAAAATGTTATCAAAAATGTTATACAAACTTATGACAACTTTTCCAATTAATCATTGCAGTATATATTTTTGTAATTTGATTTTAAGATCATTACAATCAAAATCATTCTTATGAATTGAGAATTTTTTTTTCTTTTTTGTATACTGATGTGTATAAGTTTTAAATTTATTTTAAAAGTTTAATAATTCCTAAACTACATTTAATTAGAGTATAAACCAATTATAAGGACATCGTTCCAGAATTTTGCATGAAAAACAAACAGATTTACCATCAAAATCGCTCGCAAAATAAATATGAATCTACCTATTCTCGAATTTTAAAAATCATTCTTAAACAGTATAAATAGTATTTATTTATGATCTTTCCTTTAATACAAATAAAAAAGAGTTAGGTAGATAAATACATAATGTAAATACCTAGGTATTAATGTTTCTAATTAAAAATGATTCAGCAAAAAAAAAATTCAGAAGATAATTTAGATAAATAATATAAAATTACCTACTTATAATATGAAATGTCAAACAACTATATAATAATATGAAGCTGATAATAACTTGAATAATTCAACAATTATTACTGCAATCAATTAATCTATATGAAACTATTGAGAACATCTTTCAGTTTTAATAACAATCCTGCTATGAAGCTATTTTTTGAAGAAACGTAATAATATATACATAATATATGAATATAAATATTTTAATGCCAAACGCTGTCATTATATTTTAGAATTTAAACATTATAGGATAAATCTATGTATACAATTTTATGAATTAATTTGTTTTTTCTCTAGTTTTTTTAGCATTTGGCAAATTTTAGGAAACATAGTGGAAAAACATAAATATTACAAAAATAGTTAAAATGGCTTTAAAAAGCAATACAAAAAAATGTCATCAGAAGAACACGGGTTTGTTTTTTTAATATTTATAAATTATTATATTATTACATTACCTAGTTTATATATATTTTTAACAAATGTGTTAATACTAGTATAATAAGTTTCAGTAAGTTTCAAAGTAAATCAATTCAATAAACTTTATTTTTTTTTAAATTCTTATAACAAACACCAATAGCTATGATAATTTATTAATAATTATGTAAATGTTAATGAACTTTATTAATTAAATTTTAAAAGTTTAAATTTATGTAATAGTCGTAATATTTATTTATATTTATAATTTGATAGTTTAGTTTATTACATAATTTTGTAACTGATAAGAAGGTTCTAAATTTTATTAAAAAAATATAATAATAATACTTATTTTGTCTATAATTGTTAAAAACTGTTAGTACCCAAGTACCTACTAATAATAAAAATATTTTAATACACACCAAGGAAAACGTGTTTATTATGATAGTATAAACAAAATTTAGATCGGCTTTAAATTAGCAATTTAAAGTGTGTAATCCGTGACAAACTCAAAACGTATAAATTATTATTATTATTTTTTTTTTTAAGTTTGAATGTTATAAAATGATATGATTAAATTTAGGATATAAACTTTAAATACATTAAAATAAGTAGTAAATTCGTCATGATTCAGCGATAAATAAATGCACATTGTTATCAATATAATATACAATAAGCTATTTAGAATGCATACAGCATACTAATTTTAATTTGTTAAAGTGTGATTCATCTACGTTTGTAGTCAACAAGAATTTACTTATTTTATTGACATATTAATAAATTATGATTTTATGAATAGTCATCAGAAATGTTATTGTATTTTTATTTTTATTTTTTTTTATTACACGTCATTTCAATGTAAGTCAAAATGCATTTAGACGGAGTAAGTCAGTTACTATTCATTTTCAGTTCTCAAATGTCATAACATTATAATTTAACTCGGTATACAAAGATTGATTGGAATGCAAGACATTTACATTATATATTATTATAATGTCATTAAATATGACATCGTAAATTAGTCGAAAATAAATAAAATAAAATGTCATTGCTAATATAATATAAAATATTAATTATTTTTAAACGATGACTTTTATTTAGTTTTATTGCATATTAAGTAAACTTTACTACTGTTGCATTGCTATGCAGGTGCAAAGTTGGAATAAGTGGTATTCACAAAATATAAAATAAAAATGAAATAGGTAAATACGTAATGTATCAATACTGATGTAGTGATGTACGTGTTGAAGACGTATCAATTTTCGTCTTTCCAATTTCCGTTCTATACAAACGGTACCGAGTCTCATCCCTTGAAATAAATCCGAATCACACATTATATACTACTTAATGTGATGTCCTAATGCCAACGACACGTCTCGAACAGGATTTCGATCGATTCGAGTGTTCACTGCCGGCGACGCCGCCGCACAACACGAGTACGCGATTAGGCCGGAACAGTCAATCTCAGTCGCGCAGATGTTGACCGTATTATTATCGTTGTAAATGCGTAGCCTCCACCATCAATGCCGCTCCCCGATTTGAGACGGTCGGGCGCAATCCATTTAGCAGTCCCGTTCGACGACCGTTGGACTAGGTACTTAATCTTTTTCGAACGCGGTACTCGAGAGTCTATAGAACCTCGAAATAAACCGCCAGTTGAGTATAATAATATATTATTTTATTTCCAGTTTCCGCTGCACATCCGCATAATGCACAGTCATAAGTTTTCGCTGCACTATACTTCTTTTCACGCATCTCTCTTCGAGTATTATTATTTTATTAATTTTTTCTTTTCTTTTTTTAACTCATTCCCTCGCCTTTATACATCATTCTCCTAAGTCTCGTTCTGTAAAACCAGCATGTCTATATTCAACACCTGCTAACCTATAGAGAATGATGATTTTTTTTTTTTTTTTTTAGCGAAAATTACTATACAACTTTAGCAAATATTTTTTGTAGTTCTAAAACGTTTTATTTTTAGTCTTATGAAGTATAGATTTTATAAACATATATTCATATATATATATGAAAAAATATTGAAATGATTATATATTTTTATATAAATGATTTTATTTTTTAATCAATGGTTTGCTGTCTTTGTTTTTATAAACAATATGAAAACCAGAAAACGTTCATAGGAGATTATGCTAACAAATCTCAAATTAAATAGTTTATACGTATATGATGTACAATCTGTAGCAACATTTTATTTTATTTTTTTTTTTAAATACGAACATTGACTGTTATGACTTATAATATAATGGTGTTGTGGTTTAGAATATAAACACACCTTATATATTTAAGTCTCTATTATTTATTCATTACTTTTATGCATTAGACGTATTTATATTATAATGTACGATTTCAGTTTCACTCCTCTCTTTTCTTTTCCTCACCATATAAAAAATAATATGTGTATACACATCATATATATACCATGTCTTGTTGCATTTTTCATTCGGCTGATATACAGTGCAGCTTATTATACTTATATAATAGTATAATACTAAACACGCATACATACACACATATATATATATTACATTATACATATAAAATGCTGCGTTGCAGTATGGGAGCACCATCATCAATCGCAATATGACTTACTGCCATCCGTAACAAAATGAATAAAATAAAAATACACATACGAGAAGATACATATCTAAAAACGCATGCGTATTACACGTTTGTTAAATTATTCTTTAGTGTTCAACGTTTAGATATCGAAACAAATAGTCGTGTTGAACTGCGTGGTTTTCCCAAAGCAATGAAATCTTGAAGGAAAACATGTTCGTAAAAAACGTTAATAAATTACGTACTACCACAGGGCCCATTTTACTCAGTATGCAAACACACTGCAGGCTAATTAAGGGGAAATTTGAATGTTATTAGTAGATCCCAAACCTTATGTTTATTGGAGGATGTAATAAAGGATTAAATTTTACAAACGATTGCGCTCTCTTTACCTTTTTACGTGCAAATATTGCATTGTATGAAATATAAGTGTTGTTTTTCTAACACACTATTTTAAAAATATTAATATATGGAAAATAAACATTTGTTTTTTTTCCAATATAAATAAAATAAAGACATATTATTTTCAAACCGATATCCTATATGCTATAATATAATAATCGGGTTTAATAAAAAAAAAATAATTACATATAAACGTGTATTATAGGAGTATGTAGTTTTTTATGAATTACAATTTTTAAATAGTGTATCGAGTGCAGTGAGTTTCAAAGTATCCACCACCTTTTCTAACATAGCCTAATGCTATTTTTCTTAACCTTTCTAACATCAAACATCAAATAATAATATTTTTTTCCATACGGAACCCCTATAATATTAAAGTATAATATTTTATGTAATATTTGCACGTCTAACGGTTTTTCCCACTAGCCATATTTTGATAAAAGCACTTTCTCGGAACTCTTAAGTAATCTACGCAGAATACTAGGGTTTCGCGGAACACAGGTTAAAAGTCACTGGCCTAATAGTCTTAACTTATATAGCCGGAATTTTTGACATTGATGTCACGTCATTATAATTAATATTTAAAGTATATCGAATATAAAAATTCTTACCCGATAGTCTCCGAGTGGCTAGCAAAACGGAATAGACATTAAGCACGGTAGCGAGCAGACCATACCACACGGACCATAGGCTGTTGAGCTGACAAAAATGTCCTTTACCGCCTGCGTAGTTGCCGCTTTCAGCCATCACGTCCGTCTCGCAAACATCTCCCGCGAGCTTTTTTGAACCTGTAGAAATGAACCACAAAACCAATCGATCAAGATCTATTATAATATAAACTGTGATAAATCAGTAAATGTTATCATGAAAATGTTATCTGCAATGATTTTAGGAGGATATATAAAGTGGTGTACTACATGTAAAATCGTGCAAGTAAGATTTCATCAAATTTTAAAAAATTAAATTTTTTTTTTTTAATGTTTCTGCAATTACTTATACTTCTTATATTATTTAGGTATATATTTATATATGATATAATATACATCACGTTATGTTGTTGAAATACCTGTAATATATTAGGTACCTATATAATTTGGAATTTAAACATTAATCATTATTCTTCGTGGGAATTAAATACATATGACTTTTGACCTCCCCCCTTCACCGAATCAATAGATATACAGCAACATAGTAGTTTAATTATTTTTCATTCGATACGATTTATATATATATATATTTATATAATATAATATACATAATAAAAGACAAATACTTATGCTATTAAATATGTTTATGTCTCATATTGATAGTATAATTAATTAAAAACATAAAATACTTATAAAACAATTATCAATGTATTTAATCATCAATGAAAATTTTTCATTCTCAGAATTAATTAAAAAGTGTGTTTATTTTTGACATTTGTCATCGGATTTGAATATCGCAGGTTCATCGTTTCGACAACGACGACGACAACAATCTAAACAATTCTAAAGTAATTGTTATTATTACTATAAAACTGTTGCATTACCATAATATTATGTATTATAAGTTATAACATTAAACACGTCGTCATTGCCGCCGCATAGGTATATTTATAACTTAAATATATCAGGTTATCCCGCCGGGATATAGCATACGCGGTAGTATGATTTATACTCATATTATTCGTATCAGTGTATCACCGTCGTACACGCGCCTGTTTAATAATAATATTATAATGTACACCGGTCCGTGAAATCAACTGTCGATTATACAGCTCGCCACCCTGTTTTAATGGAAACCACTATAGTTTTGCTTCTCGACGTCTAATTGTCATTATTTCGATATTTTTTTTCTATCATCGAAAGTACAATATAATGCGTATGCGTGCGTGTGTCCGATGAGCGTTGTTCAATTATTACAGGGTGATTGCACTCGGCGTGTGTACGTTACAATGCACCTGACACACCCGACGCGACAGTTTCGTGTTTCCTATACAAAGTATTGTAATTTATAATATATTACTTTACGAGTATATTGTATACAGAATGATTCCTTTAAAAATGAATTTAGTCAGATTTCGATTTTTAAAATTTTTAATATATAATGACAACTTTCCAATTATTTAGATTATTTAAGGAACACTTTTAGTGTTGTGTATGATAAAAACTTTTTTTTTGAAAAGTACATACTTTTTTAGTGTGAGATTATTGTCAAGCAGATGATCATTTGGAAAATTAATTTTGATTGATTAAATGTATTTATTTACATTGATCTATGTATTTTAAAATATTTTGCAATGAAAAAAAAAAAAAAATAAAACATATTATAGGTGCTAACGATTATTATATGAAATTAAATACAGATCGTATTTCTACGTTTTCTACATTGTACATAATATAATATTTTATACTTATTTTAATAGTACGGTGTATCATAAATTAAAAGTGTGAATACTTTCTTATTATCGTTATTATTATTTATTATTGTTATAGTTGGTGTTGTTGTATAATAATATGAACTCAATAATTGTTAAGTTACAATTTAATTTTGATGTGGTGCAATAGATAATAATATCAATAAAATTATACGGGATGTTTGGGTCTTTGTAATTATTTCAATATTTGATCTGTTTGTGCATTTCACGTTGTTGAACGAAGTTATAGTTGAATTGACAGAATTAGAGAACTTAAATGTGTGTAATATTATAATCGTAATATTCAAGGATTATCCTACCTTGATACCTTTAGTTATTATTAATTAATTACTTAACCTTAAATACTTATATATGTAACATATTTATTTTTTTAAAGATTTTTATTTAATTGTTCTATAATAAGCTTAAACGAGTTTTAAAAGCAATATTAGTTTAATCATTTGAATAGAGGAGGAAAGTTAGGAGAGATATAATTCACTGATAATACTTTTGGGGTATGATTTGGGAAATGGTTTGGTTAGATTTAAGATGCGATTCCATTTTCGTTTTAGTTGTCTGAAAGGAGATTATCGGTCATTGAATTTACTTAATTTTTTTTCTTAGACATTTTGGTGATCAGAGAGTTAGTTGAAGTAACATTTAGTAGTGAATGACTTAATACTAGTTTTTGGATACCGAATGAATTAGTTTATACATTTATTATATAAAAGAATAATACTTTTGTTACTAATTTAACATTTTTTTGGGAGTTTTTTACAATTTGTTTAGATTTGACTTTTAATAGTACATCCAAATTGGTTTTAGTTCGGTTTTATAAAATCAAAAGATTTAATTTAATCTAAAGTGAAAATTTAGGTAAATATTTAATAATATTATGATGGGAGTTTAATTTAAATTATTGACGTTTTGGGTATGACGGATACAAGAAAATGTTTTATCGGAATTAACAAAGTGGTATTTTCTGATTAGTGAAGTTGGAAATATTATTTTGTTAAATATGACTTTATAGTGTACTGTGTTTAAGAGCAATAGTAAATAGTTATGTAACTGAATTTGCTTCCATTAATATTTACTTTCCAGTTTTGACATAATGTTTTAATACTGAATACAACTAATACAAAAAAGATGGGAAGAAGTTTAGATGCTGCGTCACAGTGATTGGATTTCCGTGAACTGAGATGATTGGTTTATCGTCGTCGCATTCAATGACAAAAATATAAGAAGATGTGGGTTAAACTACAACAAAAAAAAAAAAAAAAAGAATAGAAGAGGAGCTATTATTTTATTTTCAGCTTGTATTATAGAAATAATTGAGAGACAGGATCGATATCGGATGACGAATTGATGATCATCAAAGTAGAATTTAAAAAGCAAGGAAAAACTAGAAATTATGATTATTTTTTTTTTTTTTTTAACAAGCATCTATATGACATCAATATAATACAATTTCTTTTTGTAAAAATATTAAAAAGAAACAAAATACAAAATATTCACGAATAACCTAATAACCTTGTGTTTGAAGTATATTATGCTAGTTATAAGCAATATACTAGATATAATTATTATATGCAATATATCGAAAAAAATTGAAATGTATATCGATGATAAAATTGTATTGGTACGATATCTTCCTAAACTTCAATCAATTAGCATGTAATATACTATAGAACACTATAATGTGAAAACATATTATTTATTTTATATATTATCACAGGTGTTATGTACATTTGACACACGACTTCTTTTCAAACACGGAATGCGTACGTGTAAGTAACAGTACATAATATTATATAGAAGAATACGATTTTGTAAGTTTTATTTTAAGAAAATTATCATGGTTTATTTATTTTTTCTATCATCATTCGCTATATTATTATTATAATCGATAGACCGATCCGTAGACACGAACTTTTAAATGATATTATAATATTATGCACTTCTCTGTTTTACATAATATTATACTTAAAATACTATTTAAATGGTTAATTTTACAGTTAAATTTATATACGTTGTGGTTTAACAGTGTCTCGAGGGCAAAACATGCAATATAAAATTGTTGAATATTAATCATATGCAATTATCCTATTAGCTCATTGCACTACTTACCTAACAATATATTATATTATACCTAAATACATAAAATAAATTCACCAACCCGGTTGTATTATACTATTTTTTTTTTATTTTTTTGTTGTTAACGTAATCATTTATGCAAAGTTTCTCATTATAAGAATAATGAAAATACCATGTGTGGCTTAAATAAATTAAATTTATTCATACCATATATTATGGTATAAACTATCATTTTTATTGAGTTCAACAAAACTAAAATTAGTAGTATATTATTTATTTATTTATTTTAAATTCGGAGTTTTTACTGTGGTTTTCTTTCCACCGTATCTAGTATAGAAAAATAAAAAGCTATTATTTTATATCATTAATAATTAAAATGTGTGAAATGTAAAATCATACATTTTTAATTACTATAAAAGTACTAATCAATGATTTTTATCTTAAATAATATCAAATACTAAATATGAAAATTTTCAAATAAAAAGATTCATTAATTTTTCATATATTTTAAACGACAAGTTTTAATTCTAAATCATTTTAATCTTAGGTTCTAAGTCTTAAAATATTCGTATTATTAAAATGTCAATTTGTTATTATTTATTAAATAGATTAGTATATTATTTGCATAAATTTAAAAATAATAATTTACAATATAATATTAAGTTGTAAATAGATATTAAAACACTCATTATTTTATTATAAAATACAAAAATATTATTTTATTTGTATATACGTCATATGGTTATCATTAATATTATTAAAATATATTTTATAGATACTGTGTATATTACGTTGATAAAATAAAGACTTCTTACTAACATACTAACTCGTGTAGTTCAAGTGTAGTACACTGTAACTACTCGAGCTTTGTAAATAACAAATAATACAATAATAGGTAAGTAAAGTATCATAAATTGTAGTTTAACAATTAACCGCTCTAGTTCGCCGCGGATTACGGGACCCGTTTGTTTCTATCTAACAAGATCCTCAAATGTTTACTTAATGCAAAGTTTATAGAAATTTGGAGGTCACTTCAAAAACCGGTACTAACATAAGGCTGCTCGAGGATAATACCTTATTAATTTGTTTAGACATATCTATGATGTATTCATAGTTATATGTTATTATTAGTTATCACACGAAGCTTAATAAATAATTAAGAGACCAAAATATAAATTTTAAACAAGTCGTTAAATATCGTTGACACGAAGAAAAATAATACTCTTGGCATTAGTTATTTTAAATATGCGTGCACTGTATGATATTATATTATTCTAATGTCGAATTAAACATTAT